AGCAGTTCTATAGAACCACGAGGATACAAGGCCCCTCGGCAAATGTGTCCGAGGGTGTCCTGAGGTATGACTGCGGACCCCCACCCCAAACCTGGGGGCAAACAGATGGCGGCTACCCGATTACATCTGCAACCGAGGACAAGAAAAACCACCCCAAACAGAGTTCACCGCCCCACCCAAAATGACAGCCCTCCCCATAAATACAAACCAGCTGGCCGCATAGGGACCCCACCCCCCAGCAATAAGCCACCCGAATCACTTTCAGGCAGCAGTGTCTGTACACCTCTGTCGGGGCAGGGGGAGGGGCTTTCACCAGGGGACAGAGGCCGTGGTCGACATCACGTTCCTGAACCTGCCTCACCACTCCTGCACTTGGATGCCAACAGCCAGCACTTCATGTGCTGTCCATACAAACAGAAAGAGCCACAGAGCGGCGCTTATCCCAGTCATAAAGGCTAGGGGACAGCAAGTCTGGGCCGGTGTGTGAGGTGGATGAGATGGGAAGGGGAGGGGCACACCACTCCAGGGAAACAGAGCAGTGTCATAAAGGCTGCGGGGAGCTGAGACACACACTGCACAGTCAAACTGGCACTGACTGTCGTTGGTACATGCAATACAACATCAGCTGGGGAAAACACAAATTGTGTCTTTTTTCCCCATTCATTCATTAATTCTGTATCCCCCCCCCCCCCCCCGGACACCCAAACTACCTTACAGTTGTTTCTTGCAGCCCCCTGTCCTTTGAAAACCCCCCAGCCTTATAAAACCATCAGGACAGGACAGTAAACCTGATTGATGTCTGTCCTCATGGTCGATTTCTACATGATCCCACATCAAGGCGGTTCCACCCCCCCACCTCCCTCCTCCGTCCACCTTTGTTAATGAGCTCCTCAGTCCCAGCTGGACTTCTCCAACCCCAGGGGGAGCTGCTGAGACCCGATTGACCATCACTCCTGAGGTGTTGCTTGCACCCGTCCCTGGGGGCACCAAAGCACACCCCCCCCCCCCCCTGCAGGGCATGGATGGGGATGGAGCAGCGGTCCCAGGCGTTGAGATGACAGAGGGAGTCCCCCCCCCCAATTCTGGGAATTGCACAGCCACGGTGGTGAGGCAGGAGTAAGAGGGAAAAACAAAGTTCCCCCGGCAACGCTGTATGTATCACAGGATGAGGAAGAACCCCGCCCCCCTCAGGGGTCCCCAGCTCTCACACCCTGGAGCTAAGCTGTGCAGTTTACTTTGGACTGAGGTTCCTGACATAATCTCAATGATGATGATGGTACAATCAGAGGCAGAGGGCCCTCCCCATGCCAGCCAGGCATATGCAGCATGATGTCACCACTTCTGTGGGGTGTGACTGTCACCGTTTCGGTCTTAATTAAATGCATAAAGTGAGTTTGTGGGGAGGCAGCTGCCTGGTTGGCCTCGGTCTCCCCTGCTCCTTTGTCGTCTAGCTCCTTTGATTTCTGAGGGCACCAATCCTCGGGCCTAGAGACCTAAAACCCATGCTAGCTCCCCCCACCCCCACCACCAATTATTCATGAGCTGCACAGGAACCGGGATGGGGAGAGGGGACGCAGCATGCAGACATATCCCGTTTAATGCGAGGGCTCAGTCTAGCGGCCCAGAAACCCGTTGTTACACCGGCACGGCAGACGGGTGCAGGTGAAGCTCCCAGCAGCTCACTGCCATGCAGAGGGCGGAGGTGGCTGCCTGGACCCCATCCAAATGGACGCCTCCACCCTCTCACCAAGCTCCTTCAGCAGAAACACCGCCCTGGAGCACCTGCAAGTACGCCTGGATGCAGGTCTGTGTACCAGGGCTTTACATCCATCCTGCATCCTGATTCAGATCGATCTTTCTCACCATTTTCCTTCCCCCTCTCTCTTCACTTGTTCCTCGCCCACCTTCATCCCCATCTCCTGGAGAAACAGTCGGGACCCATCTTAAGCTCGTTGTCTCATCCCATGCCGAGCAGAGATCAGTCATGAGAAAATTCCGGAATCAGACGCATGGATGCTGATGTCTCTGGCCACGTTGTCATACAGTGGCTGTCCCCCTACTGTGGCTTTGACTATAGTCTGACTGGAGTGACAGTGACTATGTGGGACCAACATGCCATGCCATTAGAGTGAAAATCCAGGGCTCCCACTCTCACATTAGCACAATGGGAACATTTGATTTTTAATGACCAAAATATTACTCCTCCCCCCGGCCTCCCCAGATGAGTTGGGCCCATCCTTTTATCCCTCTGAGCAAGAGCCCATCACCTCCAAGTAACAAGTATCCATCAGCTCACAGCAGTCTCTGTGGGGGGGGGCAGGACTCCAAAAATAGCATCAGACAGTAAACTGACTTGGTAACGAGGCTCAATGTGGGGGCTTCAGGCGACATAAAACATTTACGGCCAAAGGCTTTTAGCGAACTCAAAGCAGCCACCCCTGCTACCCCTTACTCTCCCTCCCAGTTCACATGGAGCTCCTCATCAAGAGTGAGGCATGAGAAGTCACCTGTAAACACCCCTCCACCCCAAACCCCGAATGGAAGCAGCCAATCACACAGGCAGATGTCACACATGAACCAATCAGCGAGGCCATTACAAATGCTGCAGGTGGTTCTGCACGCCCCACCCCCCTACCCTATATGCTTTACTGAGGAGCCCTAGTGCCGAACGGACCCCCCACCAAAAGAGTTGTGGCGGCTTAGGATAACATGGAGGAGAACTTCCCGAGATGCTCAGCTGACCTGCGGAGGTGAAGCCAGGGGCAGCTGGACTGGAGCAGGACAACCCGTAAAAAATCCATTTCACTGATGAGGGCTTAGAGCCCCCCCACACACACACACACACACACGAGCTGGTGGCTTTGGCCAGAAGGCTCAGTTTCAGAGTGGCTAACGGGTGTTGTGTTATTTGAATTACTGCCCTTAGTACTTGTCCCACAACAGCATATCATATTAAATTTTTTAGGGTCCTAACCCAAACCCCCTCCCTACCACCACCACCACCACCATTGGCCCAGACCCTGAGGATTGCCATCCTACTGAGGCTGCACACACACACATAACAGAAATTATGATCAGCACTGATTCTGCCTCCGAGGCAGATTCTGGCCTGGTATAGGGCCGCCGCCTCCCCACATGACAGCAGAGCATGCCCCCCCAAATCGAGCAGGGAGGCTACGATCGATGCTGCCAGTGGAACGAAGACCACGCGAAGCGGCCCAGTGAATTATTCACAGCGGTGACGGGCGGGGGGGGTTAGCAGACCAATAGAGATGCAAATCCGTCACCCGTCCCAAGCCGCAGAATGCCAGACCAGAGGTTTTCAGGCTTTTGGAACCACCCTAGAATTTTGCAGAACTTTTTATTATTTTGATGGCTGAATATTTCAGTAAAGTGATTCGGGTTCAGAGACACAGCTGTCCAGTGAAACCCACTGTGTGCAGGACTAAGGAGAAGGAAGTCAAAAGAAGAGAAGGGAAAGGGTGAGAGAACCCCCTCCCTCACACACCCAACACCTCTCAGTCCCCAGAACAGCACCCCCCCCCCCTCCCCATTTCTTATGGTTTCCTCACCGCGGCACTGTGGCCGG